CCTCTGAGCGCCAGCACCACTGCAGGTTCCTTCTCCTTCACTGTGGTCTCGTGCTGCTGCTTTTCCTCCTTCTTCATGGTCTCAACCATATAAATCTTTGCTGCAAATTGCAAGGAATTCCGTTCATCGCTGATCGGAACCACCACGCTCCTTTCTTTGCGCTTCCTCCATCGTTTTCGAAGAAGTCGTCCCGCACATAGGATTGGATGTTTCACATGACCAAGGACGAACTCCTGCGCCATTTCCACATTCTTTCCATTTGCATCTCTTGCGCGCAGCCTTGCTCTCGAAACCCCTTCATGGGCTATTTGCTTCCCTTGCGCGTCCACCATCTTCAAAGATTCAGTGCCAGGCGCCCATTGTCCCACGTTTCCATAGGACTTGGGCAGGACGGAGATATCCGCCCCACTGTCAAGTGTCACCAGGCACTGCTCAGTGTCGTTCTGGTCCATCCTCACCATCTGAACCAGCCGCTCCTCAGCTTCATCTTGCAAGTCCATGGCCACAATACTGATGCCCTCCAGGATGTCCACCACGGGCTCAATGCAATCCTCGAACTCACTTTTGCAGCTTTCCAATCCTCACTTTCGTAGGCTGTTCTGACCATGCCCACACGCCATGGATGCACAACATCCTCTGAGCCTGAGCCATTTCCAGTCAGGTCAAAGATCTCGAGGCTGTGGGAATCCGGTGGAGTCTGCAGCCTCACCATCTTTACAGAAGATGTTGTCGTCACTGCAGGCGGTCCTTGAAGCCTTGTTGGCCTGTAGACGAGGATGCTCCTCCACTCGTCTCCTCAACTGGTGCCACTCTCTTGCTGCTCCAACAATCCTTTGCGTAGTGTCCAAGCTTCCCACAATTGTGGCAGGCACCAGTGGCCTTTCCTGCTTTTCCCTTCTCTTGACTCTTTCCTTTCTTGCCAAATCCTCCTTTCTTCCTTTCTCCCATAGAGTCTTCCCTTTGTCGCCGCTTTTCCATGAACCCTTGCCTTCTGACTTCCCTTTTCCTTTCTCCTTTCCTTTGAACTTCCCTTTGTCCTTTGATTTGCTTTTGCCGCCCTTCTTGCCTTTGTCACCACGAACACCTCCATAGGAACTGCCTCGTCCATACCCAGTCTAGTGGGTAGGCTCAAGCTGTTTGAGCTGTCCCATCTTGTTGCCAAAGCTTCTAGCTCCATCACCTTGTTCTTCAGCTGCTCATGTGTTGTTGAATCTGTGATCCAAAGCTGCAAATGCGCTCTCAAATGGGCCGGTACAGCTTGGAGGATGGAGGGCACTTTGGCATCATCAGCATAGTCATGCCCTGAGATCCTCTCGTACTCGTTCACGATGGACTCGTAGAGCGGCAGTTGCTCTGATATGGACTTGCCTCCTGCAAACTGCATCGTGCTCTAGTGACCGGCTGCATCTCTCGTGGGAGCCGTTGCCAAGCCTCATAGCCGTTCTCCTGCTTCATGTGCCTGATCAGCTTCAGGGGACGGTTCCTGAGGTAGGAAATGAGCAGGCTATACAGGCGAATGGAGGAGGCCTTTGTCTCGTCCGTCATCGCATCAAGCTCATAGTTGCCACTCAGGTTCTCCTCCACCATCCTCACGCTGTGCGCCATGGCAGGGTCGATGCCCTTCACATAGTTCTCGTCGCTCCATTGTTTCAATTCGTTGTCCCTGGTGTCAGGCTTGAAGGGTCTTGAGGTGGCGAGACCATGCTGTTGAGCTCTGGCTCCCACTCAACCTCTCTAAAGCCTGTGAAATCTTCTGCAAGCTCTCTTCAGCCATTGCAGCCAGGTAGGAAATGTAGGGCCTGTACGTCCTTGTGGTCAGGGTAGGCGTCTTCTCTGAATGGTTGGGCTCGAAGTCAAAGTAGTCCAACAATTGGGTGAAGTCCCAATTCGCCACCAGGTCACTGATGACCTCCTTGTCGGTGTTGTCCCTCAGCTTCTCAATCCTCTCGACTTCTGCTCCCTGGATCGCTTCTTTCCCTTCTTATCTTTCTCTCTGACCGTCAGGGTGGCCTTCACCACACAGTCGCTGCGTGCCCACTTTAGCTTCCCAACACGCTCCTCTGTTTCCACCAAGATGGTGTGCAGGTACCTGACCCTCCACCTGCTATTGCTATGCACCACGCTCGGGCTCTGCTGTTGGCAGATCTCCTGGATGGCAGGATCTCCGGCCCCTCCAGCAATTCCAGCCAAAAGAAGGAGCTCGATCAGCCAGATTGCCACAGTCGTGGACTTCGCCGCGGGCGAGCGGGATCTTGACCTAGGTCTTTGCCCAGGGATCGTGGTGCGGGCGGCGTGCGGTGGGAGCCGGGCACTTTACGACCCAGCTCCGCTACCATGCGAAGCGCGCAAAATGCTTTTCGCTCGGGCCTAAAGTAACAGGCGGTACACTTCTTGATTTGTGCTCAGTGCATGGGTGGTTGTCCATCTATGACTTGTCATGTTCTGACAAATTTCATATGCTCTCACACCCGTGTCATTTGTACACACGCTCGTAGATGAGCCCTAGGGACTGTCTGAAAATAACTCTTTAGGGGGTCATACCTAGCCATTTTATAAAGAAGACACCTTCTATGATTATGCAGGGGTTCTAGGCTAGCTGGATCTAGCTAGGAATGGCAAAAGAAATGATCTGGGAAGAGGAGGCTGGAACATGGGGAGAAGATAGGAGAAGGAAAATAGGAAGAGCGGCCAACCAGGACCTACCCAAAGTTTCTTTTGGCCTTTCATTGAGAGAGGAGGCCATTGCTTTCCTAGTCTAATGGTCTGTCTGGGGATCTGGTCCTGTCATTTTATAGTGGGATGACCTCTGTAAAATGGCTGGACCAAACCCTTCCCAGGGCAGGTAGATAGGAATTTGTGGAGCACACCCCTAGAACCCCCTGAATTCCTCCAGCAGGAAGCCTAGTAGTCCACCAGGACACATTGTTTTCCTAGTCTATTGGTTATCTGGAGGTCTGGTCCAATTTCTATAAAATGGCTGGACCAGACCCCCAGATAGACCAATAGAATCCAATAGACTAGCAGGGAAGACAAGAAAGACTTTGGCTAGGTCGTGGTGGGGATATGTAAGCTTCCTGCTGGGGAAATTATGAGACTGCTTCTATAGAATGGCTGCGCCAGACCCTTCCCAGGGCAGGTAGGTAGGAACCTGTGGGGACACACCATCGAGCTCCTTGGAAATAGGCCCACCACAAGCCACCCTTGGTATTCCTCAGAGAGGGCTGGGCCATTGCTGTCCTAGTCTATTGGTTTCCCTACAGGATCCAGATGTATAGCGTTTGATTTGTTGGCTTCTTTTTGTTTTGTTGCGTTTTGGGTATATGCGCTTCACAAAGAGATGATTTTATAGACCACAGAGGGGTGAGGTCAACCCTTTTTATAGAGAGGTGCTGAGGACCAAGAGTTGAACGATGCTGAAGAGCAGAAGAAGTTACCCACAAGACGTCAAGCCATCATGTTCGTCATGTTGCACTTTTGCCGTACCCTGAGGATGAGGAATAGGGTGCGGAAGGAGATGGAAGGAGGATGAGGATTGCGCTGCGTTTCGCCATGCCGCCGTTTCATGAGGATCACGCTACCAAGCCTGAGTTTAAGATTGTTTAACTATGTTATAATATGCTTAAGAATTTGTGCTTTTGAAAGAATTTTAAGGTTTATATGATGTGGTATCCTCAACTCTTCACGTTCTGCTGTTTTGGGAAGCTGACTTAATCTGGGGCTTTGTAAGGGATTTCAAAAGACTGGACCGGGCTGACCGTTGGGCCAAACAAGTGGCTGTGGGTTGGCATGCTGGCTGAAGAGCGCAGAAAAAACGATGTTGAAGCTTCAAAACTGATGTGGAAATGACGTTAGGTAGAGTCATTTTATATAAACAGGCGTTTTCATTCTATACACCTGACAGGGTTCTGTCTGACAGTTTTATCTCCAGAAAAGGGGTGGAAGGACCCCCTGTCTGGAACGGACAGGGGGATATACAAAACATAACAAAACCAAAAACTGAACAAACCATAACAAACCCGAGACTGCATCGTAACAACATTGAATTGGCAAGGACATGCTCAGCAAGCACGATTTCTCTACATTTAAAATTTGACCCTGACCTCCCCTGGGGGAGAGGTATAAACGTTGTATAAAGGGGGTTGACCACCTCCACTTTATATGGGAAACCGCCACGGGTACTATGTTTGCATGTATGTCTGTCTGTATGCGGGCGGCTTCGACCGCGAAGCGGTGTGAATAACAATGGAACCCACCGCAGTAGCACGAATGTGTGCTTGTTGACGTTGAGAACGTTTGGCTACTCATTGGATAAACGGAACAACTTGACTGAGCGATATGGCTGTTCGCAATGTGCGTAGGTTCAATTCACCACATGTTCTGGTTTATCGGCTGTTTGTTGTAACAACCACTGTTAGATGAGAAATGACCGGACAACCAAACACATGAAGTAGCAGCAGTAGCACAAATGCATGGCGCAAGCGGGAGCACCTTTTTCTGCGGGCATATTTCCGTACAATCTCTTCCACAACGGTCTGTGCGGCAACTGGCGCAAGTAAGATCATGGCACACAGTTGCTTGCCCGCGTCTGAAGCAAGAAACATTAACATCGAACAATTTTTTGGCGAGTATTTAGACAATACGAATCAGTCTTCATCAATGCTCATTCATCTCAATTCGCATTGAGATTCAGTAAGAGAATGGCTGCTTTGATGTCATCGATCCGATTCCAAGATCAGTTCCCACCAATATCTGGCCACACTGGATTGCGTCGAACTAATTTGGTCGAAAAAACAATTGGGCCCTGCTCTTGGAGTCGGTCAAATTGACTCCGGCAATGCGCTGTTTCACTGCTGCACTTGATGCTTCACCAATCGGACAGGATCCAGCGCCAAGATTTGGGATTTGACGTTGGGGGGGCTGAACTACTTGGTGTACAAACCGTTGAGTACATGAAGTTTATCATCCAAAAACAAGACCATATGTAAACATTTTTTACTTTCGAGCTGTCTGAGGCCAGCTAGAAATGTTACAAGTTACAAGATATGCCTGTAGAGTCTCGCGCTTACGGTTCTTGCAGTGATTGCAATAGATCTGGGTTCCTTAGAAAGTGCAAGCCTTATGGCTTGCATCATTCGCACCTTCACTCAGCTCTCCGCCTTCTTGTCGGCAAAGATCTAAGAAACACAAACGCGTCTGGCCAAAGAGTCATTACATGCGTTTCGTGCGCAAAGTTGGGAACGCACGCGCTGTGTGTGAGTGTGTGTGTGTGTCCACTCCTGTTTCCAAGGACACTACCCTAGCTCTTTCCAACCTACCCTAAGACGTTTGTGACCAATGTACAGCAGCAGGGGGTGGTAGCAAGGCAGAGAGTCTACCACCAACGAAGACGCTCTCTAAGCCTTGGTGATACTGGGACTGATCATCCCAGCGTACCTGCACAATTCAATTTTTAATCTTCATCCATTCGATGTTTCAACAATTCTGTTCGACCGACCCAGCACTTTCTTTTCAGTCAAGGTCTAATCTGCAGTAATTTTAAAGGGCTAATGCACACCGCGAAGCAGCCTGAAATCGCGCTCCACGGAGCAACCTTCTCAAGTGTGTCTCCGCAGCTTCTTCCCACTGTGGTAAGCTGTGTGATCCCTACGGGGCGCCGTTACTGCAAGAACCTTTCCACTCCTCATCGCAGGGGTAAGCTTCCTGAAGTTTTTCTGAATTTTCTCTACTGAATTTCCCTGCTCGAAATCAGCTTGAATTGTCTCACCCAGCACACGTGAAGTTTACTGCAGAGTTCACTGAATTTCCTTCTGAAATGTACTGCAGAGTCAAAATGTAACTGTTTCACCCGGGAATCCTTTCCTTTCAATGTTTCAAGTTCAAGTTTAATTTCAAGAATTCAATTGAAGTCAATTGCACACTCCTCCTCTTTGCAGCGACCTATTTTACAGCCTACAGTTTCACTCATTCAAGTTCAAGGACTGCTTTGATTCATCTCTATTTACACATACATCGACTTTATTCGACTTGCCGAGCAGCCATGACGTATCCCTGGCCGTATTCACTACCAACACATCTACAGCAGCAACCACAGCCCACACAACCACACTGGTTTCCATACCCATCACATGCTCCACCGCAACCATACACAACACTGCCACCAGTTCCACCACATCACCCAATTCCACATGGTTTTCCATGTCCCACACCACCTCCACCTCATGCCCATTACATGCAGCCACATCCAGTACAGGCACATTTTCCAGTACAACCTACCGCTCCTCTTGACAGTCCCCAACATCCGCAACAGCAGCCACTTCACGCGACACAGCCAATACAATCCCATGTTCACACACATCCCACACTGCCACCTCAACCTCAACCTCATCAACCACATCAACCACATTCACCACATACGACAAGCCAATCACCGCCACCCACACCATTACTACAACCACCACCTCCAACAACTGATCCACCACACGCCACCAATCCAGCAGTGACCACTCTACCACAGCCTGCCACACCGGCTCCACCACCACCACCACACACTCCAGCAGCTGTTTCAGCGTCCATCACCACACCAGCTCAACCTCCACCACCACCCAACGCGCCAGCACCACAAGAGGTATTTGGCGCGAGACCCAGATCGCTCACCACCTCGCACACCTGAACACCACCGCTACACAGCTTTCCCTGCTGTCCCCACCATTGCACCATCACAAGCTACATCCAGATCCAGGAGCCGCACTCGTTCAATACGTACCACACGCTCTCCATTGCCACGAACACGAAGCTCAGCTACACAGTCAGTGGCCAGCTCACAACCACACTCCACACCTGCTGGCAGACACACATCACCAGCACACACACACACAAGACAAAACTCACACTTCCACCCAAGACATCACAGCTGCCACCACTACAAAACGCAGTCTGGACTCACCTCACCGTACTTCAAGCATCACACTCAAACCCAACCCACTTTTCACACCCAAACATACCACCAAGCAGTCACCCATTCCGCCGCCCATTGCACCACCAACTGTTCCTGTTCAACGTCGTCCTCACAACCTGCCTCCTCCAAAATTCCAACCACCCACTGATCCTGCACAATTGGATGTCTTCCAATGGATCAACCACTACGCACAATCACTTGACGTCAAAAATGAACCCATGATTTCCTACGTGGCCAAAGTGCTCAGCGCAGCCCATCTCAACAGCACCCACTTTACGGACCTGCAACATCTCACACACACAAAATGGAGCGACGACACCAACAAAGAAGAACATCGCTCATTCCTATTACTCACCATCCCCACACTAGCGAGCAGGGGCGATGCCCCAATCCTCCCACCCACACGGCGAGAGGCTTTGAACATACCACCGATAAAACATATATTTGCGGCGCACGTTAGGAGGGCAACATCATTTCCATACTCGAGGCGGGCGAAATTGTGAGATCCGTTCTACATGATGACCACAACGTAGGTTACTTTTGTCAAGCGTTCGAACTATCGAACTATGAGCCACATGATGTTGCTGAAGCTGCACGAGTGTTATTCAATGCTTCAAACATGGCCAAGAACCGCAGTGGCCTCATCTTGACGATCAAAGCCTACGGACACGGCCAGAAAGCAACTCATGGAGGTGAATCCGCCGCGAATGACCTGCTGCTTAGAGGAGAAGGGATCGTGAAATACACCCCAGGAAAATGCTGGGTAGCACACCCCAAGCACTCAAGAATAGAAGGGATTGCTTGGAAAAGCGATGCAAGGCCACCGCTCAGCTTCATTTAATTCAACCTATCCAGCCCAAGAGGTTCTTTTTCACCCCATATCTCGGATGACGACAAGGCCTCAAAATTTCCATGCTGCTCGCACTTGATTTTATTTCATTCTACTCATCGAAGACAACCTCCATTATATTCAAGACGCTACATCCGCATGGATTTCTGCAGACAAGATTTTTCAGCTTTTCAGCTTTTCAGCGTTTCAGCTTTTCAGATTGTTCAGATTGTTCTGATACTTCGATGCGATTCAGCATGGCCTCTGATTTTATTCCACGACCTTTTCACTTCCTCACCTTGCCCCGCAGCCATTTTGTATTATTCAAATCATTGAGCACGACCTTTTACAACCGCGTAAGCCATATTGGTCCTACGACGAGTACCACGACGATGACCTCTCCTATGGACACAGCATTTGCACATCGACTTCTTTTAGCTCACCTTCAAGCAGCTACATCCATTGCCACTACGTTTCAAAACCTTCCACTTATTACACCGCAACCACCACTGCTTACCCACCACCAACCTATGACCACTCCAACCTCTTCCAAACGATCAAGCAGACGCACTCCACCACCGCAGCCACCACCTATTCTCTCACGCAGTCGCAGTCCACCTCGTACCACTGGCAAATCTCTCTTGAGACGCAAACCAGAACCTTCACCCTCGCACACACCCACCTCACCTCATCAGCACTCACCACAACACCACAAAGACAATGCGACTCAACCGCGACTTGAACACAAGAACAATACAGACCTCCAACAACAGCACACACCACCGATCACAACGATTTCTCTCAACAGCTCGCCCACCTCACCTCCACAGCCATTACCAATTCCACCACCTCCTACACCAGCACCTCCCACTTCACCAGTACCACCACCAAAACCACCACAAATTCTCACGGACTCTCCTCCTTACCCTGATAATGGAGGATGGGAAACCAGCGAAGATGAGAAACTGGCGGCCTTCAAACTCAACAAGCGAGCCCGCCCCAGTTGGAAGTACATTGCCAAAGCACTCAACAAAACGCCTTTTGATTGCAAAGGTCGATGGCAAGTCTTGCGAATTCTCTACACACCTCAACAGCCAGAGAGCCCAGAAGCAGAAGCAGAAGCAGCATCACCTCACAAAACATCTCACCAAGCTGAAGCAACGCCTCCAGCCACACGGGACGCCAGTACGATGACTACAGAAGCCTCGGCTCCATCAGACAAAGAGACATAGATCAACAGCACATGATTGCCAACAGTTCATTTTGTCATACAGTCCGCCTACAAACCTACTATTCCCCAGGACTACTTTGTGCTGAAGAACATCCAGAATTATTGATGGCTTTGTACTTATTGTCAATTCGCACCTATTTACATATTTGCCCAGTGCCTTTGTCGTTTCAGCAGTTGTGAGCAATAGACTCCAACCCATGAACACTGCCATAAATCTCTTCCACACGTGCTGCCAAAACAAGATCGATTGCCAGTGGAGCCCATTTTGTCCGAACAAACTTCTCTCACACCAAATGTTGTCAAATATCCGACCATTGCCACACCGCCGATTCCATGTACAGACCGGTCAGTTTGTTGCACCCAATTCACTCTTTTCCAATGCATGTGCGCGATTCTTTCCTTCTATTGATTACTGTTATTGATGACTATTACTGATCTTGGTTTTACCTTGATGTCATTGCAGCTCGGCCATTCAACTTAGCTCAGCTTTTCGTTTGTGTACAGACCTCGCGATGGGTTCCCTTGTTGCCTTGGACGCCCAGATTATTTCACAGCTGCGAGACACGAACATCCAGATCAACCGGCTGATGGTACTTCAACTCAACCGACTACATGATACCATCAAACAATTACAACTAGCAGAATCCGACGCCAACAACCAGGACCCACGCCTACCAGGTCGAATCCAACAGCTCCAAACGTTGCTGCCCACGATGAAAACAACCTTGGAGCACCAGCAGACTTTCTACCACCAATGTCTCAGATTACAACGCATACCAACCACTCTCCATCACCAAGTCCTACGATTGGCCACCACCTTGGACAAGACTCACACGACATCCACACCCACTTTCGAACGATCAAACACGCCTCCCTCACCCAGACAAACCAACTACCAGTCGCCCCACTATACGTCTACAAGAACGACCACACCACCACACACATCACAAGCTATCAGAACAGCCACTCCTAGTATGGCAGCAGCGCACTTCCTCAGCAGCTTCACACTCACACACCGCCAAACACGCCCATCACCACACCCAACGCTCCAGATCTCACACACGACAAACACGCAAAAAGCGACAAGCCACCGCCACACGGCGCCACCGTGACCGCACATCCTCACCTCGCATTAACAGACACACCAGCCCTCAGTCTC